TCACCAGACCTGTCTTCCTAGTCTGTCTTGGTCTGGAAGCTCCACTGAAATCTGTTCAATGTTATTGTTGTTGTTGCTGTTACTATAGTAACATGCACACCACCATTGACAGATGGGTGGTGGCCATGCACAAGGTGCATCGGCTGGGAGTCAAACCCAGGTCTCCCTCATGAAAAGAGAGAATTTTACTGTGCAATCACCACTGCCCCCTGCAGCTTGTTACTTACACTTAATTTCTATGGTATTGTTTCATAGGAAGATGCTGTCTATTTTTTTCCTGATTGGATTATTTCATTTGACATAATTGATCACTCTCTATTTCCTCACACATGGACTTGAAGATGATTCTCCTTGACATGTGTGGTGGTTAAGTTTGTGTGTCAATTTGGCTGGGCCTGGTAGAGTGGGTGGGCAGCTAGATGTAGTTATGCCCCATAGTAAGATTGGTAATTAACTCCATGGTGGAATCTATTGGAGCAGCTGAGTAGCTACCCTCAGGGCTGTGGCCCACTTCCTGTATATAAGGAGAACCCTTGGGGAACAGTCTCTAGCTCATGGTATGCTTGAACCCTGCATGTAGTTGTGTCGTTGTTCAGCAGCCTGCCATGCTCTGCTGATCTTGGGACTTTTAATGGACTTAAATTAATGGCCTGCTGTGTGGTTTGGTAACATCAGGACTGCGCCTTTTTACTTGTCAAACTTGGGTTTGTCAGTCTTAGCAGCCAGCAGCTGTCTAAGTGAAGAAAAGCCTCTAGCTCCAGTTGGCCGGGAGCAGGAGGCAGACATGAACCCCAAGATTGAGGGGCTTTCAACCAGCCACTAGAGCCTGGCACTTTGAACTTGGACTTCTAGCCTCCCGAACTGTAAGAGAATAAACTCCTGTTTGTTTAAGCTATCCCATTTGTGGTATATTCTTGTCAGTGTGCACTAGGTAACCAGGACAACATGTTTTCAGTTTAGAAGCTAAACTTACAGGCACCAACATTCCTGGACTAATTCTTCTCTTTTTAAAAAACAGACCATTTTTTATTTTCTTCAAATAAATTTAGACACTTTCAAGATATAAAAGCTAAACAGTATTTAGCCAATCTTTGTCCTACCATGGGATGACTAATACTTGTGCATACGGACACTGATCTCACTTTTTGAGGTTGTGTATTTCTGCAAATAGGCTATCTTGCCTCTTGGACCATGATCTAAAAAAGATTTCTAATTTTTTTTTTTTTATGCCATGGACTCTTTAAACACTCTTGTGAAATTTATTTTGCTAAGAATAATATTTTTACCGGGTGGGACCAAAGTGAGGCGGTGGGGCAGGGGCTGGAAGTTCCGGTGATAATCATGGCGTACAACGGCCTCACGGTGCCTCTCATCGTGATGAGCGTGTTCTGGGGCTTTGTGGGCTTCTTAGTGCCCTGGTTCATCCCTAAGGGTCCTAACCGAGGAGTTATCATCACAATGTTGGTGACTTGTTCAGTTTGCTGCTACCTCTTTTGGCTGATTGCAATTCTGGCCCAACTCAACCCTCTCTTTGGACCACAGTTGAAAAATGAAACCATCTGGTATCTCAAGTATCATTGGCACTGAAGAAGACGACGAAGACATGCTTCACAGCACTGTCAGTGAGGTCACGAAGAGAATTCCTCTAGATGCAAAATCACCTCCAAACCCAGACCACCTTCTTTGACCAGCCTGTTTGGGCATCAGCTGCCTTAAACATTCACATCGCCTTGGAATGTCTTATTCTTAAATGCAGTATTTTTCCTGTCACCTTTTTTACATTTTGATGAATTTTTTGCCTCCTTAACCTAACCTGTGCCTACTACACAAAATGTTTATGCACGCTTCTGAAGTTGAAGATGCAATTCTTCAGAAAAATATGTTACCCTCACCTTGGAACCTGTGGATTTGAAGATGGCCCCTGCCTGTTCAGAACATGAGAGTCAATGAAGTGTTTTAAGACCTGCCCAGCAACAGCTTCAGGACAGAAACATCTCCAGTGGGGACGTTGAAAGGAGACCACATTCAGAGGGCAGACCTGTCCCAACATGATAGACTCACACTATATTTTTAGAATGAATTTCTTATTTCTGCCATCTTTT